TCACACACACACACACTCTAACACTAACACAAACACTCTAACACTAACACTAAACACTAACACACACACACTCAAACACTAACACACACACACTCTAACACACACACACTCTAACACTAACACACACACTCTAACACTAACACACACACACACTCTAACACACACACACACACACACACTCAAACACACACACAGACACTCAAACACACACACACTCTAACATTAACACACACACTCTAACACTAACACACACACACACTCTAACACTAACACACATACACACTCTAACACTAACACACACACACTCTAACACACACACACACATACACACACTCTAACACACACACGTTTAAAAAAAATAATTAATCCCCCAGCCTCCTTACCTTTGGGAGAGCTGAGGGGATTCCCTGGGGTCCAGTGGTGCTGCTGGGTGGCCGGTCACTGAGCTGCCTGGCGGGCGTGCGAGGGAGCACTCTCCCCTGATTGTTCTCTGCACAGCTCCCTTGCGCACACCACGCTGATGCCGGAGCCGGAATGACGTCATATTCCCTGCTCCGGCATCAGTACGCGTGAGGGAGCCGGGCAGAGAGCACTCAGGGGAGAGTGCTCCCTCGCTCGCCTGCCAGCCAGCCCGGTGACCGGCCCCCCAGGAGAAAAGGCTGGCCACACTGGCGTGCATACCGGGTCACAGGGCAGTCGGGCCCCCTGGTGACTCCGGTATGTACGCCACTGCTGCTTGAGCTCTGGTAAGGTGTCTCCTCACACGTGGTGTAGTGATCTCCCGGAGGGGAGAGACACGTTGAAGGGGTTGTCCCCCGTGCAGCTCTCTCAGGTGAGGTGGCTCTCTGCTGTTCTGGTTCTGTGGCTCTGGGGCTGTCATCGGGTCGTCCGCCTTCTTCTCCCCACCATCCGTGTAGCGCCATTGCTTCGTCCGGAGCTGTGGGCCACTATGTGGTAGCACATGGGATAGTGTCTTGTGGTTCTCCTCAATAGTGGCCCCGTGTTGGGATAGCTTGGCCCAGAAGGCAGCGAATAGGTGACCAAGCCTTTCGGAGAGAGAGGGTAGTGGAAAGCTGAATGCGGGGCTGCACGTGGCGTCCAGCATGTTTGTTGGTGCTGGTCCAGCAGTGCAGGTAGGGCACTGCTGATGCTTTGTTTCTGGGTTGCAGGCTGTGATTGCTGGGATTTCCCTAACCGGCGGGGGGGGAGAGTATGTCTGGGAGACCTCCAGGCGGGTGAGCCACAGTCGGCTAAGGAATCGTCCGCCTCCCCTGCACCTCCCAAGCAGCCCCCGTGCAGGTAGTAGCCGCTGATTTCGGTCACAATACCTGTTGCTTGCAGACGCAAGGGTTAGACTCCTGTCTCCGGGGCTTGTAATCTGGCGAGATTTAGGGCTTTAGTTTGAATTTCAGCTAGACATGCTCAGTAGAGCTTAATGTGCGACAGCTTGGCGTGGCTGCCAGGCTCCGCCCCCCTGTTAACACTTTCTCATTATTTAAAAATAAAATATTAGGATTATTAACCTTTCTTATCAAATTGAAATTAATAATAAAAAGAAAAGAAAGGAAGAAGAGAAGGTCTTGCTATGACTGCTGTTACTATATCTGCATCTATCGCAAGCCAAGATTGCATTTACCCCAAACTTGACCAAAACTGAAATTCTGGTCTTTCCTCCCTCAAGTATTGTTACTCCTGTGTCTGTCTCCCTCCAAGTCAACAGTGCTACCATCAGCTCCACCACGCAGGCTCGCTGCCTAGGTGTTCTCTTTGACTCCGACCTCTCCTTCAAGTCTCATGTTCAATCTATTGCCAAATCCTATCATTTCTATCTCAAAAACATTTCACGCATCCGACCCTACTTAATGCCAGATGCGACTAAGGTGTTGGTCCATTCCACTGTCCTTTCTCGTCTTGACTACTGTAATCCGCTTATTAGTGGTCTTACGTGCTCCCAACTTGCGAGGCTCATCTTCCTGTCCGCCCGCACCTCCCATGCCTCACCCTTCTGTCAGTCCCTACATTGGCTTCCTATAAAATATAGAGCTCAATTTAAAATTCTGGTTCTTGCTTTCAAATCTCTACATAATGCTGCTCCCACCTATCTATCCTCCCTTATACACAAGCATGTCCCGTGTAGGCCTTTACGATCTGCTGAAGACTTACGTCTATCTTCTGTCCGTACTCCCACCTCTGATGCTCGTCTTCAAGATTTCTCGAGGGCTGCACCATTCCTGTGGAACCCGCTTCCCTCCTCCGTTAGATGCTCACCCAGTCTCCACTCCTTCAAAAAATCGTTAAAAACCCACTTCTTCATAAAAACGTATCAATTAAACTGTTAATAGCTCCTGACTGATTCCTCTTCTGCAACTGTCACTAGTCTAATACTATCCTTACCTTTTTGTGTCATTTTTACCCCACTCCCTCTAGCATGTAAGCTCATTGAGCAGGGCCCTCAACCCCTCTGTTCCTGTGTGTCCAACTTGTCTGGTTACAACTACATGTCTGTTCGTCCACCCATTGTAAAGCGCTGCGGAATTTGATGGCGCTATATAAATACCATAATAATAATAATAAAGGAACATGCAAAATAAATTACATATATATTTTATTTTGGGGGTATATCTACTAAATTGTTATCATTTTTTAATGGAGTATCCCCTTAAAAGGACACTATAGGCACCCAGACCACTTAAGCTCATTGAATTGGTCTGGGTGCATAGTCCCAGGTCCCTTAACCATGCAAAGCTAATTATTGCAGTTATTTGTAATCTGCAATAATTAGCTTTGTGAGGTAACACCACCTCTAGTGGCTGTCTACCAGCGGGGAAGGAACATCGACGCTGGACCCAGGTAAGTCACAGAAAGGGTTTTAACCCTATCTGCACCGCGTGGGGGGATGGTGGGCACTATAGGTAGCTATAGTGCCAAGAAAACAACTTTGTTTTCCTGGCACCATAGTTTCCCTTTAACTATATGACATTTAATAGCATACAAATCTAAGTACGAAAACAGCCACGCAAGTTCAGGTGAATTATCTGCCAAGATCCATTTATAATAAACCCTGACTTTCCTTGGAATCTATGTTTGTTTACAAACATTAAAATTGAAAGCTTTCAAGCGATACAAACATTCTGTTCATCATCACCCAAGTCCATTAAAGAGTATAATGTCCAAATACAAGTTTAAATATGTTTCCTAAGTAAACACATGAACGTATCTCTTACGTAAGTTTACGTTAAATCAATATAAAATGGTTATTAAAAAAATTTCATATAAAAAAATTGCAAACTGTGCCCATTTCACATAACAGTAGGAGATAATTTGGAACCATAATCAGGGATTTTAATTGCAGGTTTATTTTTATTTCATTACATCATTGATGTATAATTAATGTATTTAATTACAGCTTTGTATGGTTCATCAGTGGTCTAGGTATGAGATGAATATATGCATGCATTTAACGTAGGTAATTACCATTTAATGTGGTTCACCAATAGCATATGGATTTTTAACAAGATACAGATCAGTAAATATTGTTCTCACTCATATATTCATAAACGCATAGTCATTTGTAATGTATCCAAGAACGACAGCGTCCCCTCTAGACCTAGAAAAAAAATGACATTTACATTTTTTGCTGAATATTATCTTTGTACAGTGTTGATGTTTTTTCTTCTTCCTTGAATATGCCTTGAAAATACTTATTTTTCAATTATGGGAGAAGGATGCATTATCAATAATTATCCGGTTTGTATTTCTAACACTATAGTCTTGGTGCCCCATATAATTTGCCCCTTCCATCTGCACACAATAAAAAAACTCAGCATTGAGTCTCCCTTTTTGCTGCCTCACCTCCTCCTTGGGTTGCGTCATCCTGGAGGCTGTTCTTCTAAGTCTTGTAATTAGTTCAATATTAGGTTTAGGGGAGTAGAACAACTTCATAAGGTGAAGTTGTTAGAGTGCCTAAAATGTCTATTTAAAGAGGAACACCATTAGACAATAGACTTGGGCATGATGGCAAATTTCCATTTGTCTGTTTTTATTCATATGAAAATATATTTTTCCTTTCTTTCAAACAGAATGTCGTCTATTGGATTGCATGGTTTAGATGAAATTCAGACAATATTTTCAGACTGGAAATTCATGTGGATGAATCATCTTACAGCTGTTTAGCAGATATGTCCCTAAATTGTTACCTTTATGTGAAATTGCCATGTTTAAGTGGGCTGTTTAGAATACATGAAGCGATCCCACATATGATATCAACCAAATTAGTGAGCTATTTACTGAACAGCTAAAAGATCAAAATGAAGAAGTAGCAGGTGGGAGCTCGGAATATAATAGGGTTTTTTGTTTTTTTAACAATCACTCTCTCAAGACTTTCTAACAAGCCATCCAAAGTCTCTGACTGAGATTGCTTGGCATGGGAAAGGCTGTTCCTGTCATGCTCTATCTGCATGGGGCCCCTTAAAAGGCAAACATTAATTTAATTTTTATATTTGTTTTTTTGTCTGTCTTTTTTTATTTGCAATACATTCCTTTTTTTAAATTTATTTATTTTTTATTTATTTTTCCCTTTTTTGTGGCTGAAAGCAAAAAGTTATAAGATAAAATAAAACAAGTATACAAGTTCTGTCTGGAAAGTAACCAGCAATATCATATGAAAAATAAAAATAGAGATATTTATTGAAGAAGAAAGATACAAGAAACATTGTACAAAGGATAATAATGCCTCAGTACCTTTCAAAGTGGACACCTTGGGATCTCACACAGTTCTCAGAGCGTCTCTTACACTGTTCAAAACACTCTGGAAAATCCTTTGTTGGAATCGCCATTAGTTGCCTTGTCGTATTTCCGTGAATCTCATCGACGGTCTGAAATCGCTTCCCTAAAATCTTTCAACAGATTCTCAACAATCTTTTTGGCGTTTGTGACACACTTTTATTTGCACTGCACTCATTGCATCGTCCCTGAAAGCCTTCTTATTCATCCAAATAGTTTCTGCGGAGGAATGTTCACACTTAACGCAGAATTTGATTCAGATTTGTTCAGATTTGTTGCTCTACGCCAGTGATGGCTAACCTTGACACCATAGATTGTTTCTGGACTACATTTCCCATGATGCTCTGCTAGCTTTTAGATTCTAAAAAAATTTAGATTCTAAAAGCTAGCTGAGCATCATAGGAAATGTAGTCCAGAAACAATTTATGGTGTCAAGGTTAGCCATCACTGTTCTACGCGCTCATTCATTTTGAATGTGACAGCCACATGGTACATATGCTCACTTAACAGAGTCTAGCGCCCAAACTGACTAGTACAGTGAAGTCGTCATTGCTCATGCATGCGTATTTCAGTTCACTCCCCTGGTATATTTTATTATTAGCTGCCACCTGCTGCCAAAGGGTGTGGGTTAGGGGGGACAATAGGTTTCCGCTGGGTATTTGTATTTAGAGCCACCACCCTTCGCTTATAGGTGGGTGACGGGTGAAAACACTTTATTATCATGTTCATTGGATTCAATAAACATGTGTGTAGGAACGGAGGGGAAACTATGACCCTTTTAATAATTACCCCACCATTGA